AAAAAGAAAAAGAAAATCCATAGAGTGAAGCAGACTGCTCTCCATGCTGTGGGTGGGCCTCGTCTAATCAGTTGAAGGCTTTAAAAGGACTGAACTCCCCCAGAGGAAGAGAGAATTCTGCCAGCAGGTGGCCTTCAGACTCAAGCTGCAACACTACCTCTTCCCTGGATCTCCAGCCTTCCAGGTCACCCTGCAAATTTTAGATTTTCCAGTCCCCACAATCATGTGAGACAATTTAAAATAAGTCTCTTTCCATATATCTGCATCTACATGTGCATCCCTACCTACCTACACACCTACACACACACACACACACACACACACACACACGCTCATCGTATCGGTCCTCCTTCCCCGGAGAACCCTGACTGCTACTGTAGCCAAAACAAACAGCCCTGCTCAGGAGAAGGAAGAGGGAGACAACTGGTATCATTAAACCCTTGATAGGTACCCAAGGACATGCCGTTCGGAAAGGGTGCAGCTGGAATCTAAACCCACGGTCAAGAAGCTTTGAGGGTGGGGGTGTAGAGAGCCCCTGGAGCTGACCTTCCCTCCAGAGGGGCAGGAAGAGAATGACATGTCCCACTCACGCGGTTCAAGGAAAAGCAACACGTGTGTGCCGCCCCGTAGGCATCAGCCCTGTTCTAACCCACTATGGCCTTATGTCATTTCGTCCCCCCAGCGCCCCCATGAGGCAGGCACAAGCATAGCAACTTGGATGCAGCGGTGGCAGCCGGGATGTGCACCACGGGACGGGCTCCTGTGCTCAGGGAGGCCCTCATGGCCTCCACTCCCCACTGGCTGAGCATGGCCCTAGGTCAGGCACCCTTCGTGGGCTCGGATCCTGCACTTGGCACAGTGAAGGATGAGAACAGCAGGAGGCCTGGAGGGCAGGCCTGGGGTCAGGAGGGGTCGGGGTGGGGGGTCAGGACTGACGGCAGGAGGGACAGCAGGCTCAGCAGAGAAGTCCGCAAAGGCTAAGTGGAAGGCGACACCAAGTGGGGTCTAAGGGATGAGGAAGGGGTTGGCCAGGTGAGGGGCAGACTGGGCGGCCTTCCGGAACAAGGGTTGGTGGGACTGAGTCCGAGCAGTTTCGAGGATGCCTTAGCAGCCGCACTGAGTCTGGGCTCTGTTGGGGAAGGCAGGTGGCGTCACCGTGTGAGGCTCACACGTGCCGCAGCAGGGCTGGCTGGTCTCAGGGTGCTGGCTGGGTGTCCTCCATGTCACCCTTATGCAGCCCAGGGGAGCTGCACCACCCCGCTGCCCAGGTGACAGAACCGAGGCTCAGGGAAGCAAGGCCACCGCCCCGAGGTCACAGGGCTGGGTGGAGTCCAGGCCTGTCCTCCTACCCTTCAGACACCACTGATGACAGGGGCGAGAGATGCAGGAGGGCGAGCAAGGGGAAGCCGAGCCTCCGGCCCCGGGAGCCAGGCCCCAAGTGGGGCACAGCGAAGCAGGAGCCTGGCCAGGAGCCTCCCTGGGGCAGAATGGTCAAGTGGCCAGCCAGGGTCCTAAACCCACGCTCCTGCTGCCCGCCTCATGCTCTCGAGTGACAACCCCACCCAGAGGCTCCAGGATTCCAGAGGAGTTAGGTTTGCCTCCTTCATGGGGAATACCAAGCTCCCTCCACCCCCACCCCCAAGGACAGTAATGACAGAGATGTCCCCGACCCAGCCATCCGTCATAATGCAAACAAGCCCTGCGTCCCACCACAGGCCAAGGCTGAGCAAGCTGTGGAACCGTCACTGGATGGAATGTGCCCACTGCTCAAAATGCTATTTTTGAGTTCTCGGGACCTAGGAAAAGGCTCAGTGTAAGCGAGCTGGGAAAGAGCATTTGATGGCCGGCGCCGCCAGCTCAGGCGGGCCCCTCACCATTGGTGGACAGCAGGGAGTGGGCTGCATTCTGCTGTGGAAGCCACTTGATCTTGTTGATTTTCTCCTCTATCTCCAGACTCTTGAGGTAATCGAACTCCGGCTCGTGGCTCTGGAAGGTGCTGTAGACATCATACTCGCCCTGGCTGTGAGGCGCATTTTTACTCTGCAGGAAAACCCAGACAAGGGGGCCTGAGCTCCAGCATGGCAGGGGCAGGGGTGAGGGGCGCGCCGACCAAACCCTCCGAGAGCCCAACGCAGCCGGGCGGCCCGTGTCCAGCAGGGCTGGGGGATCCGGTGCCAGGGTCAAAGAGACTCTGTATTTTAAATGGCCGATGACTTGGTGTGTGGCTGTGGCCAAGCCCCATCTCCTCCTCAGTCCAGCAATCAGGCTGGCTCACATTACCTGAGCACCTACTATGCGTGGGGTGCTAAGTGCTTCTCACTCCCCGTCTTGTTCCATCTGCACGGCCCCTCTGTACTGGGCACCACCACGATTCTCCCCATTTTACAGATGAGAAAGTGGAGACTCGGAGGTGAACTGACCGCTCCCCCCAAAGGCCATGTGTCCACTAAATGCTGTCACTCGCCCCTCTGAGGTCTGTCTGACACCAAGGCCAAGGCTCTGGCCTGCTCTTCCATTCTGAGTGTCCAACTTGGTCCTGACTCATGGATGTACACATCTTGGAGTAGACTTTACATGGAGGCAGAATATTCTGGAATGTCAGACTGGGGCCAGGCCATCGTCCTGACTTTCCTCCATGGGCCCATCCTGGTTTAAGCAGCAGAGCTCCTAATAACAAGGACCCTCGTGACAGAGCCCTCAAAATAGTGAGGTGCTGAGTCCATCGTGGGCACAGGGCCGGCTTTCTCAGCAGACAAGTTCAGTGTATGTGGTAATAGGAAGCTTCCACCAGACGTATAACCCGCCTGGGAGCAAACAGAGACAGTCAACCAAGTGCAATTTCAAGTCTCCTATTAATCTTTTCTGAAAGCATCTATAGCTATATTTCTACACCTGTCCTGCTTCTGGCAAGCTTTCAAGTTCTTCTGTATGTTTGCTTCTACGTGCCTTCAGCTGCCATGAGCACTGTCTATGACTAAGGTCACTGGGACCGGAATAGAGAAAAAAAGGAGAAAAATTCCAAAGTCGAGAAACATGCATCTATCCATTTAATTTCTTTCTCTAAAACGGAGGCTTGGCTTTGCAATCCCTGGTGGGCTGCCCAGGTCCTTCTCGTGAAATCGGCACGCTCTGGCCACAGGGCTGTGCTCGGGTAACAGATTTTCAGCTGTCCGCTTTCCGCTACGTGTCCTTGCTAAGCTAGGTGACACCCTCTGAGCTCCGGGCTCCCCATCTGTGACATGAGGATGCTAATAACACCTAATGGCACCACTGGGGTTGTCGTGAGGGAGGTTACGGGGGGAGGGAGGGAACACAGAGAAGTCAGACCTCGAGGAACACGCTCTGGAACGAAATGGGGCAGGGATGCATCTGCAACATCTCCCCTGCCCCCTTCATCCCCCTCCTCCCCACTCTCCTTCTCAATCCCTCCTCCTCCTCGTCTCTTCCTCACCCCTCTCCCCTCTCCCCCTCCCCTCTCCTTTCCTCGTCCTCCACCTCCTTGGTGTTTGCCATCCCATCTTCAGCATCTAATCCCTGCACGTGTTCGGTGTGTGGGTGGCCCCCTCTCTGAGGCAGGGTGGCGTGTACGCGACAACACATGGCCTTGGTTTCAGCCCCTGGTCTTTACTCACTAGCTGGGCGACTTCTCCAAGTGTCCTCATCTGTAAAATGGGTGTCGGTCCCGACCCTCTGAGGTGGGCAGCAGAGAGTAAACGAGAAAAGTGTGTAGAGAAGGTAGCAAGGTGACCACACATAGTAGGTGCTCAACAAATGGGGTTTTTTTAATCATGAGGTTCTTAGAGTGGTTCAGAAACAGCGCCCCTGGGTGGGTTGTTCCGGGCTGCTCTTGTCTTACCCGAAATTCTGACCGACAACAAAAGCCTCGCGACGGTGAGGCCTGGGGCTGAGCCAAGTTGCCAACCCCAGCCAGAAGGCAGCCCCACAGCTGCAGAAAACGCAGTCCTCCTGTCCCCCCACCTCTGGCCAGGACGGTGTCAGCTCACCCAGGCGGAAGGCAGAAATCGGAGGCTTAATCCAGGGCCACAGCTGGCCCTGCCTGTCCTGAATGTGTCCCCGGGGCCCAGGACAGAGCCAGCAAAGGCCTGCGTGGGGCGTGGCCCCCCTCCCACGGCCACCAGGTCCCGCCGCACCTCTGGCTCCCGCTGGAAAATGACAACCCGGCCACCCTTGTCGCCTGTGGCCAGCAGCTCTCCGGTGTGGTTGAACTCAACAGTGGAGATGATATCGGCTGTGGGGGGAGAGACAGGAAGGTGTGGCTCATTAGGACCCCAGAACTGCAGAGCTCAACAAAACAGGCCCCCCGCCCCCTAGAGCCTGCACCCTTGGGCTGGGCCACCATCCAGAAGCAGGGGCACTAACGAGGGGCCGATGGTCCCCCTGTCCCCTCCCAGCTAGCCTCGGGACAGAGACCTGTTCACAGGCTTGCTTCCCTCTCTCTCCTTCCTACTTCCTTCCTTCCTCCTTCTCCTTCCTTCCAGAAACAGTTTGGGGGTTTCATGTGCTGCCTAGGTGAATGGGCCACAGTCTGACACTAGCCGTACTCTGGGGGCCCCCGGGACCAACTGTGGTCACCCCTGCCCATCATGGGTTCCCCATCGGTGGGACCCCCATAACCTTCACACATTCCTGGCCTGGACTTTGTAGGCCCCAGAATCTCTGATCCAGCTTTAGCACAGAGCCTCAGCCCTGATCGCTGCCCCCACTCCATCTCCTACAGCGACCTGAGTCCCGGCATGTCTCGGCCTGAAACCCTCCACTGGTCCCCAAAACCGGATGCTTTCCCTCCCAAAGCCATCGTGGGCAGCTTCCCCTGTCAGGTGGTGGCAGCTGCATCCTCCCTTGGCTCCGGCCCAAGACTTGGGGTCTCTCTGACCCCTTTCTCTATCTCCCTCTCCAGGCTCCGTGTCCAGTCCTACTGGCCAGGCCTTCACAATGTATCCAGATTCCTCCCACATCTCCCCGCCTCTCACCTGGAAGATTCCGACAGCCTCCTAAAGGATCCCTTTGCTTCCTCCCTGCCCCTGCTTAAGCTAACCTAGCAGAGCATGAGCGACTCCGCCCAAAACCCTCTAGATCAAATCCCCATTTGACCTCAGAGTAGAGCAAAGGTCTCAGAGTGGTCTACAGCCTGAGTGGTCTGCGAGCCCCTGAGGCAGACATCGGAAGCCCAAACCTTTACCCTGCTCCTGCACCTGCACAGAACATGGCACTGGGCCCCTTGCAGCTTCTCAAAAGGACCGACTACCTCTTATCTCAAGACTTCGAGTGATTTTCTCTTTCCTATTCAATAAACACCTTTTGCTTTTCCAACCAGTGCCTGTTAGAGGCAGCTTCTGGCCCGCACTGGCTTTCTGAGCCGTAAGTAAACGCCAGCTTTGACAGCAAAAGAAAAGAGGAGAGAGAGAAGGTGGTTTAGCAGCGGGATGATGGGCTGGACATTTTCATTGATCACGATAAAAGCACATTTCATTGAACTTAGAAAAACAAGACAAGATGGGGAGAGCAGCGGGACGGGAACGTGTACCCGCCCGCTGAGCACGGAGCCGGGAATGGGTTGGGCCCTTCACGGGGCCGCCTGGCCTGACCCGGGAGCCCAAGCACCCCGGACCCGGAGTTAGAACCCAGCGGTGCCGGGGTCCCGGACGGCATAGCACCAGTCCTTGCTTTTCCTACTGGCACCCCCTAAGGGGCAAAGAGCAGGATATAAAATTGTGTATAAAATGTTTTTAATTATATACACCAGTGATCACAGCCGTGTTAAATGGCAAACACACTGGGCAGAGGGAAGAAAACCCGAAAAATGACCCCCCCCCACCACATTAGCAGAGGGTGCTTTGGGGTGGCTGCAATAAAATATTTTCGTTTCTTTTCCCACTTTCCTACATTTTCTCGGTTTTCTGTAATGAAGATAATTTTTAATACCTTTATTGGGATATGACAGATATATAAATGCACATATTTAATATATACAATTTGATGAGTTTGGACATATGCATAATTTATATTATTTTTATGACGGAAGAATAACAATGCTATTAAATTAAAACGCCAGTGTGACCACTGGTACCCAGAGCCAATGCAGTCCATAAATGCTGGGCTGTTACCACGGTAACAGACACTAATATCTGCAGGCAATTTACAATTTATGTGTCAGTTTCACATCCGCTGCCTTCTTTGAAACTCATGCCAGCCCCTGAGGGGGATACCGCTATTATTTCCATTGGCAGCTAGAGAGATAGAGGACCCTGCACAGGGACAACCTCCCGAGCTGCTCGCGGGCCAGTGGGAAGTCCTGGGTTGGAGTCTTGGCTCCAGCGCCTTGGCTGTGTGGCCTTGGGTTGGTCACACCACTTCTCTGAGCCTCAGTTTTGTAGCATGGCTATAATAGGGTGTGCCCGGGGTCAGAAGCCCCAGTGGGACCATGGGGTGTGAAGGTCTAGGAGGAAGGATCACTAGTGTGAGGAACGAGGAGTTACCAAAATTAACTGGACAGAAAACTAAAGCCCCCTCTCATCCTTGCTTCTGGCCTCTACAGACTTCGCAGTGGCCAGCTCAGAAGTGTGCAAGATGAGTAATGGGTCAACCTTACTTACTATGCAGGTTTGGGGGTCCTGACCTCCAGCCCCGCGCTAGTCCCATCCTGGGAACATCTATGGAGTAAGCAGACCATGGCATTGCTTCCTCACACTTTGGGCTGGTAGATGTTTCACCACTGGTTCACTGCTATTATCCTTATCAATAAAACCTTGAAATCAGAAAGTCCATTCTCTCATCTTGGAATATCTGACACATGTCCAGTCCCAATACCACCTCCTCCAGGAAGCCTCCCAGAGAGCACCACTGCCCCCCCAGTTCAGTGGTCTCTCCTACAACTACAGTCTCATGCCCACTCTGTGCCCCCTCATTGAATGTGGACCCCTTCCTACATGTGGGTGTCTATGTCCATGTTGCCTCTCATCTTGACCACGGAAGGGTCAATAACATCAACTCACGTGTCTTAAGTGCTCATTTGCCAGGCCCTGTTCTAAATCTCTCCATAGGAGCTTTTGCTTCTAGCCTGATGGCTCCTATTGGATCAACTCTCTCACCAATCACAACTATAAAGCCTCGACAGAAAAATAACAAAACACAACTACCTGAAGGCACTGGAGGGGACCAAATGCAGGTGGAACATGCAAGAAAATTAGCACTCACTCACCTAGTGAGCCATTTTCATGGCTTTTAGTCTGAGAACAGGCCCTAGCCTGTGTCCTATACCTGCTGAAACTCAGGTAGAAAGTCCTACTCTTAGGTCTCATAAACCAGGTGACAGAGGCTGGGGGAACCCTAGTAGTAGCCGGAAAGTGAGGGAGTAAATTCTAGAAAGGGGGATGCCTGAGGGGGGCCCCCAAATACAGCACATAAACTCTGCCCAAATCTTTGGCCACAAAACACGCACACACATGACAGACTCCAAGCAGCCCAGCTAAGACTAAAAGAAGTGAACTGGGGTTTGTGCCCATCACCCCAAAGATGGGGTTTGCAGTTGAGTTCAACCAAGTTAACTGCTCACAAACACAAAATAAAACAAAAATGCTCTTTGGAGGGACATACGAAACATCTAGAGTCTCTACAATGTTATCATTCACAATGCCCAGGATATAATCCAAAATTATATGAAGACACACAAAGAAATAGCACATCACCCATACTTAATATAAGGATAATTGATGGACACTAGCCATGGAATGCCCTGGATATTGGAATTAGCAAATGAAAAAATTTAAAGTAGGTATTATAACTATGTTCAAGGATGTAAAGGGAAATTTGCTCCCACTGAATGAAAAGAAAGGACTTTCAACAGAGAAAGAAAAACTATTTTAAAAATAACCAAATGGACATCCTATAACTAAAAAATACAGTATCTGAAACAGAAGACCACTGAATTGCTTAACAGAAACTTTGAGATGACAGAAGAAAGACAGTACACTTGAAGATACATCAATACAAATTACCTAATGTGAACGATAGAGAGAAAATAAATTTAAAGAAGAAAGAACAGATCTTCCAGGATCTGTAGGTCAATATCAAACATCTAACATACATGTAATTGGAGCTCCAGAAGGAGAGGCGAGAGATAATAGGGTAGGAGAAAGACTTCAAGGGATAATGACTGAAAAAAATCCCCAATATGGGAAAAGACATCAGTGCCCACATTTAGGAAGCTCAGTTAACTCCAAAGATGATAAATGCCAAGAAAACCACACCCAACCATTAAACTGCTGAGGACCAAAATAATGATAACATTTTATAAGCAGCTAGAATAAAACCATGTTGCATTCAGAGGCACCAGGACTCAAGTGACTGCTAATTTCTCATCAGAAATACTGGAGTCCAGGAGTGCCTGGGTGGTTCAGTCCATTGGGAGGCTGGCTCTTGATTTCAGCTTGAGTCATGATCTTGGGGTCCTGGAATCAGCCTCGTGTTGGGCTTCATGCTGAGTGGAGAGTCTGCTAGAGATTCTCTGTCTCCCTCTCTCTGTGTTCCTCCCCCTGCTCACGCTCTCTCCTTTCTAAAATAAATAAACAAATATTTTTAAAAAGATACTGGAGGGGCACCTGGGTGGCTCAGTCGTTAAGTGTCTCCCTTCAGCTCAGGTCATGATCCCAAGGTCCTGGGATGGAGCCCCGCATCGGGCTCCCTGCTCGGCGGGGGGGCCTGCTTCTCCCTCTCCCACTGCTTGTGTTCCCTCTCTCACTGTCTCTCTCTCTCTCTGTGTCAAAATAAATAAATAAAATTAAAAAAAAAAAAGATACTGGAGTCCAAAAGTCATTCAAAGTGCTATTAAAAATCTGTGAACCCAGAATTCTGTATCCAGCGCAAATATTCTTCAAGAATGAAAAGCAAATGAAGACTCAGTTAAAGCCTTCCAAGGACCAGAAGTCTAACCTTGGCACAATCCTACTGCCCTCTCATCATTCTCTCTTTACAGATAAGGACACTGGGTCACTAAGAGGCAAGACACTTGCCCAAAGTCACACATGCAGTGGGGCCTCTGCAGTGTGGGCTTCTGGCATGTCCCTGCACCCACACCGTAGAGCCTCACGGTGCCACTGGCTAAAACCTCAGGCTCAGGGTCCCAACTCAGCCACCGAGTGGGGTCTGCCAAGCCCACCCTGTCATGGGTGCTCCAAGTTACCCTGTCATGGGTGAAGAAAAATCCCAAGAAAGCCCATGCTGCCCTTCCACTTGGGAGGTCCCCTCTGCCTTCTGCTGCAGCCCTGGGGAGTCCCCCAAATGGCAAGGCTGGGTTGGAAGAGGCAGCTTGGACCATGCACAAGGAGAACCAGTCAACTCCCTGGAATTGGGCACCATGCAGCCCTGGCAGGGGAAGCCCAGAGCTACCTGGTCAGGTAGCCAGAAAGCCATACTCTGGTCCAGTGTAGGCTTAGGGACAGGTCAAAGGTGGTGTTTGATGTGACCAGCCACGTGACAGGTCCACATTGGGATCTGGAGACAGGGGTGGTGTTGTGGGTTGAATGGTGTCCCCAAAAAGATATGTTGAAGTCATAACTCCCAGGACCTGTGGCTGTGATCTTATTTGGATCATCTTTGCAGATGGTCAAGTTAAGATGTGGTCATACTGGACTACAGCGGGTCCTAAATCCAATGACTGGAATCCTAATAAGAAGGCTACATGACGACATGGGGACACGGGGACACACAGGGAGAAGGCCATGTGACAACAGGGGCAGAGACTGCAGTGAGGCATCTGCAATCCAAGGAACTTCGGGGACAGTGGTCACCACCAGAGCTGGAAGAGCCTGGAAGAGATGCTTCCAGCAGGCTTCAGAGGGAGCATGGCCCTGCCAACACCTTGCTTTCTGTCTTCCAGCCTCCAGATGGTGAGAGTAGGGATCTCTGTTGTTTTAAGAGGGAGAACAGGGCTAAAACAAGAAACCGTGCACACACCAGCCCTGGAGGACACTGGCTGCACACACCCTGGGCTGTGGCTCCTGTGGGTGCCACGTGGGGAAGGATCAGCCCGTGGATCCCCGGGATACCCACTGTGGCTGTCACCAAGAGGAAGATATTCCAGTTGTAGCCCTGGTCCGTGCTCGCTGTGTGACCTCACCCAAATCATTGACCCTCTCTGAGCCCTGACGGTTGCATTGGTAGGATGGGAAATGTCATCCCTGCCTGGCCACAGTTCTCCTAGGGTTTATGTGTGGACTGGAAAGTTCTCTGGAAACTCTGGCAGAAGCCTGCAAATGCGTCAGGGAGATTAAGATGCTCGTCAAGGGGGATCTCCCCTGCTCGTCCATCACCATCCGTCACCATAAGTGCCGTCGACACCATTAATGATCCGTCAGAGGTCGGGGCTCACCG